TATGGCAGGTTGAGCAGGCTCACAAGGCACAAACGAAAGGAGCCCTTTCATGGTTCCACCTGAGAGTCATATCCTGTTCTTTAGAGTCGCTGAGACAATCCCCGTGGCAACAAGAGCAGAGTTTCTCAGGTGACTTGGGGGTGGGGGATTAAAAAAAAAATAATAATAATAATAATAATTCACAAACGGACAAGCTTCCCCACCCACCCCTGCAGCTCCAAGAAGTCCGAGCATCCAGGTGCTCAGTTGCCATTGATCTCAGGCGCATCCTTGGGGACGAGGAGACTCATCCTGCCCGGAGCACTGGCTGCACTCTTGATCACTTCCATCCACCTGTAGGGGGCGTAGGAGCAGATGAATGGGGTCACAATTGCACCCAAACTAAGCTTCACCTCAGTTTGTGGTTCACACGTGTGAATGTGTGACGGCCATCTCACCTGGAAAACGTGTACTCGCTCTCTGCCCGGAAGTAGTACACGTGGGATTTGAACTGTAGCTTGAAGACGTACTCCTTGTGGATGCCGTCAAACTCGCCCGGCGTGCTGACTGTGTAGCCCAGCAGGGGGAGACTGGCCAAGGGGAAGTCATCCTGCACACAAGTGGAACACAAATCAACACACACAGACAAGGGTGGAGTACAATTCGAGCAAAAATGAACAGACCCTGCTTGTTCTCCACAGCTGAAAGGTATTTGCAAATCTGGGAGCTGAGCATTTAATAATTATCCCACTTTTGGGTCAAAGGGAACAGTAATGCTTGCCATCGAAGTACCGAAAGAGACACACACTGAACGCCACGGCCGCTCATTCAGAGGAGCTGTAAGTATCGGACATCTGGCAGCCTCCCTAAACCTCGAGACCCACTATGACCGCGGGAGCAGGAGGACAAGTCACGAGCAGGTGCCTGGTGGACCTGCCACCTTGGTCCAGCTACCTGGTGTGTCTTGTAGAAGAACAGGCAGAAGTTCGTAAAGACCACCCACAGCTTCTGCCAGCCGTTGCTGTTCTTGAACTTTCTGAGAAGGTATCCAGAGAGCTGATTCTGCGGAAGAGAGGTTGGGGACAGGTTCAGACTGCATACTGCAGTATGCATCCTCACTTAAATCTGGCTCAGTTTTGCCCACTCAAGCATTTGCGCAAAGTCTTTCCCCCTTTATTCGAGTGGTGCCTCTACCACTGGACACAGATGCCAACTGCCTGCAGAGTCTTGGGCGAGAAGCCAGCAACAAGACAGAAGGTGGCACAGGGCAACGGATTAAACCCTTCTGATCTGGCTAAAAGGAAAGTGTCAGCCTTTAAAGGAGTTAGCCTGTCAAATTACTGCTTCCTGGTCACGTTAGATTTAAGGTGGACAGGGGTAGAGCAACTTTGATTGTATTAATAAAAAAAAAAAGTCAGTTTTAACCATGAATGTGTTTATGTGTGGGATGAAGCAGATTGATAGGGCATCAGATGAGGTTAGCGGAAATAAGCGGTAAACCGCCAAGCCTGAGGTGAATGCACAATGCAGTCCTTCAACAGGCTAATAAATGCGTACAGCATACTTTCATTACAATGTTACTCACTGACGGAATCTTAATGAGCTGATTCCGGAACTCTCACGATGAGCTCCCAGTTATGTGATATTTACTCCCATTGGAAATGTGTGGGCCCCCTCCACGCCGGACGGCATCACGGGGGCTAGATCACACGCACCCATACAAGTCTAGAGAGTCTACAGGTCCCGCAGTACCTGATTCATGCGCAGGTAATCGGACAGAGAGAGGTTCTGGTTACGGTACCAGCACACGTGTGTGATGGTGTTGGGCCTCTGGCCCTGACCCAGGAGGTACCGAGGGGGAAGCTCCGGAGATACGGCCGGAGAGAAGACTTTGGGGCAGGAGGAGAAGCAGGGAGAGAGGAGAGCGGAGAGAGATTGTTAGTGCTCATTTAGGGATGGGCTTACGGCGAACATCTCCCAGGGCCTGATGGCTGAGCTGTTAGGTCAGAAAGGAAAGTGGTTAGTCTTATAAGAGAAGGCCAGTCAGCAGGGGAAAGGCGACCTCATCTGTCTCGCATGAGGTTCCGGGCGTCTCCCTTTGCGTGAAATGCTTCCCAGAAGCATCACTCTAAACAGGGCTCAAGCCACCGGCAGCGGAAATCCCCGACAAGGCCATGGGTGCCGATTAAACGGGAAGAAGAGAGGCACTTCTCTGCTAGACAGATCAGTAGAGCGACGAGAGAGACGGGGCAAAGCTGAAACCAGAAGCGTGAAGCGTGAAAGACGTGGGTGAGCGGAGGGAGCTAGATGACTGCGGCGACACTGAGGTTACAGGCGTGAAGAAATGGTGAGGAACCCTGGTCTGATGAGGCCTACACAACGTGCTGGCTTCGGCTCTACCTGCTTCCTTATAGAAGGATCAGCAGAAATGCAAGTTAAGGCGGCAGCCCCTGTGGTCCATTAAAGGAAGAGGGTTCCCGACCCCAGAACACCCCCTCCCCACACACACTGCACATCTCTCAGATGACGCCCTACACCTAGCAGAAGTTGTCCGACTGCTTAAACACAGTACTAACATGGCAGTGAGATGCCCTGCAGGAACCTGCATCTCCAGTAGGTGGCACTGCAGAGAAGTACTGATTCTAACGAATACCACAAGCCTTCCTTATATCTCATGACTGGAAAATCTAGTCCTTACAAGGACTTGGCCGGCCGTGCTTGAAAATACACTCGAGCCTGGCAAGGACCACAAGGGAGGCTCTGTGCACTGGGGCAGACGTATCTGGACAGGGGTACCTCCACGGAGAGGCTGTGGTCAGACATGGAGACGCTGGTGTTTCGGTGCCAGCACACATGCATGGTGGTGTTGGCGCGGTGGTGCGTCTGCCTGTCCAGCGAGCTACGGGATGAGTGCGTTTCGTCCTCGGACTCCTGCTCCAGGGACACCTCGTCAGAGGACCCTGCCGGGGGGCGAGGGGAGGCGCAGGCTTCAGCGTTAATTACACACAAGGAAAATTCATTCCCCCCCCTCCCCTCACCAGCACCTAGGGAAGTAAAAAGTCAGGAAATTCAAGGCAGGACACACTAAGAAACATCAGACCTTAAGGCATCATGCACCTGAAAGGCAACAAAGATGTAAATTTCCTCACAGCACTGACTCTTCTGCAAACAGAGATTGAAAGTAAATTGTAAACCAGTGTTTCTCAATCCTGTCTTCGGGGACAGCCACCTGTAAACAGGTATTCGATGTTCCTGATTGGCTGCGAGCTGGGGGGGTGGCAAAAAATGTGGCCCATCGGGGGGTCCTTAGGACTGGATTGAGAAACTGCACTAAACAGACCCCCCCCTTTGGTTTTTTGAATAGGAAGACCATGCCAGTCACCCAAATTCACATGCAACACTCAATGAAATGTTTGTTGTCAAACCTAGTTCTGACCTTCCTGTCAGCAGCCAGCAAAACGCAAATCACCAGCTACAGGGGAACGAGTACCAAGGTGCCAAAGAACAGTGACACACCCTTCCGGCCATCTCATCCTTCCCTTGCGTTGGCACTTTGTTGACTTTCATCAGATAATTAATTTTAAGCAGAGCAGTGCCACGCCCCGGTCTCAGCACAGTCCAACGCAAGTGGATCCCCGCCAAGCTTAGAGACACGGCTTTGTAAAGTTTTTTTTGTGGGTGTTTTAAAATGCACTTGGTCACCCTGTTTACTAAACTGCAAAAGAAAAGGCAACTTCGTGTGAATGTCTTGGGAAGAGGCCCCCGCCCTGTTCTGGCCGCACGTTTGGCAGCCGCACAGAGCAGGAACGAGCTGCCGCATGGGGGGTCTTACTGTTTGAGCGATCGCCCTGCCCCGACTCCAGGAAAAGCCCCGATTTCTCCTGGGACATCTTGGCCAGGTCGATTGCCTGGTTCAGGTCCTCGATCCACTTGCCCATCTCCACTTTAGAGCTGAGAAGAATGGAAATAAAACACCAAGATGCCAATTTAACAGCCAGTCATCTTCAGAAACCTGCTTTGTTAATGAGATCTTGGGCCTCGGCGTGCAGGAACATGAGATGAACTGGCTGACCGACTGACCTAGCAGCCACCACGATGGTCCTCTGCACGGAGTAGATGGTGAAACAGTGGGGCACGTTCCACTCGTTCTCGCTCTCCTCAACCTGCACAGAAGCAGAAGGATACAGGGAGAATTTTACAGAATGTGGGGCAATGGAGGGACGGGCAGACAGGATCCCTTATAGCAAACTACCGTGCTTGCGTATCACACTTACTACCGTGCTTGCGTATCACACTTACTACCGTGCTTGCGTATCACACTTACTACCGTGCTTGCGTATCACACTTACTACCGTACTTGCGTATCACACAAAATTCTAGGATTTTTTATGCAGGGCAAAAAAAAGAGGGGCCATAATTCATACAGAGGGGCCAACCTTATTAGCCAATGACATGTTTTGAATCATTGAGTGACGGGAGTGAGAATTCCAGCGGCCAATCAGCTTACAGCTGAGGCCAGCATCCCTGCCCCTATTTGTCAGCATACGCCTGCTGCCTAACCATTAACAGGTGGCTGTCTGCCAGGAGGCCACCATTACTCACCGGTACATCCAGCAGTATGATCTGCAGGTGTGGGGGGGGGCGAAGCAGAGACAGGCAGGTTATCACAGGCCATAACCCAGCCTAGACCGACAGCCACCCTGAACGCCCAAGGGCGTCAGTTACCAACGCAGATGAATGAGAGCTTTGCAGGGTAATCCTTACAACCAGCTTCAAGAAGATCGGCGCCACCTGATCATTACAGTCATTTAAGATCTGGTCCATGAATAGTCTAATTAGGTTCTTGCTTTGTTGGAAGATGTTGTGTAGCTCCTGCTCCAATCCCATTTACACTCACGTCTGGGCTTTCATTGGCCGATCAGCTTTGCCACACTTACGCCTAGTCGGCTCCTTGAACGCACGTACGTTTGCGATGTGCCATTTTCCTGACTTGGCATCACTTTGGACAAAAGCGTCGGCTAAATGTGTAAACTGTAAACATTTAAGACCACTGCAGGTGACCATGAGCAAGTGGAGAGCGGAGTGCACTCGTCTCAACACCTGAGCCGTGCTGAGGGACATCGTGGAGCTGATGCTGACTGGAGCAGGAGCCCCAGGAGCCCCAGGAGTCCAGCCGCTTAGCGAAACGTCACAAAGCCCCTCATTTCCAAGGGCCGCTCACTTTCAACGCAGACAGAGAGCAGCCACTCTGCTTATTAACATGAACTATACTGGCCTGTAACCATGACGTTTATTAGACCAGAAAAAATAAATAAATAATAACTGGATGTAACGGATACGCCTGAGGTTAAGGAGAACGGCTCGACGGCCTTTCACACTCACGATCATGCCGTGGAGGGCCAGCTGGCCGTGCACTTTGAACTGGTTTGTGGCCGTCACCCCTTTGCTGGTGTACAGGAGCATGTCTGAAAACTGCAGACGGGACAGCAGGATTACTCGAATGACATCAAAGCCAAAAGCATGGGATTTGCTGTTAAGTTTAAGTTTAACTCGGGATAGGTTATAAAGCAGACAGCTCTTAGACTACCTACCAAGAAGAACATCCTCTGCTGCAGTCCCTTCTTGGTGAGCTTGAACAGACAGCCCTCTCGGATGAACTCCTACGAGCAAGATGGGACATCATAGCACAGAGCGCTATGAAATATGACTGGGTGTCATGTGCCTCGGTCCTTAGAGCTACGTGAAGTCTCATTCTCTGACACGCACAGCCGTTCGCAGGCCTGGACGCACTCCCATACTCACCCTGCCGGGAGTGATGAGACTATCCATGCCAATGAGGTCCCTCTGCAGCTCCGTGAGCTTCTGGAAGTTCTCCAGCCGGATGAGGCTGCTCTGCAGCTGGGCAGCCATCCCAGTCACCTCCTTCAAGGCCCCTGCGGGCCGGTCCATGGTCACAGGGTTTGGGGGAGGGGAGAGAAAGAGGTGGGGTCAGTCCCTCAAACAGCACCACATGCAGAACTGAACCAGAGAGCAGGGACTGACTCAGTGTTACAGGCGATAAAAGAGCTCTGGCTCCTGCAGAGTTTAAACCCCAAAGGAAGCTAAGATGATGTTCTTTGGCTTTGTATCTCAGGCAACGTTGCATGCAAACTGTGGTAGAGTCTGAATGGCAAGTGAGGTGGGTACAGCAAGAGGAACCAAATTAAGGTCCAGAAAGATCTCAGATCAGAGTCCTCATTCCCTGCACTCTGGTGGACCTTCTGGCCCATGGGGGCCTCACCCTTGCAGTCCTCGTAGTCGCGGTGTTCCGGCGTGTAGTGCTTGCACAAACGCTCCAGGATCAGTTTGTAGTGCATCAGCCGCTGGATGGGCTTCAGCAGGAAGGTATTGAGCGGCAGGTAGCACACTTTCTGCAGCTCGAACTCCTTGTAGACCGTCTCCAGATTCTTCAGGCGCTTGGTGGCCTTCTCCAGCTCCGTCAGCACCTCGTCGTGCTTCTGCAGGTAGCTGGTGAACTCCTGTAGAAGGAACGGATCAGGGCTATCAACCACCACGGTCTAACTGAATCCAGCAGATCTGCAAGCACGTGGATGTGAGAGCAGCTGGCAGAGCCCCTGGTCCAGATGTTTTGAAGGACAATGTGAAATGAGGCCAGTGGCATCCCGAGATCCATCAGCAGGGTCACCTTCAGAGCACACATGTTCTTCAGCATTACGTCGCCGATGTGCTGGTAGTCTCCCTTAACATGGGCGTTGGATCGACCCTCCCTGGGGGGTGACACGGTGACACCCATTTATTTAAAACCACTCACATGCCCCTGACCACACACACACACACACACACACACACACGTAACCCAGAACACAGACCAGAGAGCCAGCCTCTGGTCGACCTCCTTGAGGAACCCTCGGTGGAACTCGTAGATGGGGTCGATGTTAGAAAAGAGGAGGGTCATGAGACCTTCTGGCATGGCGCCCTCCTTGATGACGGCACTGCGGAACCACTGGAAGGCACAGAGGCGACAGCCGCGGATAAGCCTACCGCACGTGAACCCTAGTCAAGCAGCGGTGCATTGTGGGTAGGGATCAGTACAGCTTACCACTGTGATGACCTCCAGGTCCTTCAGATAGGTCCTCTCTGTGGTCAGAATCTCTTTGGCAATAAAGTACGCCTTGTCAGTGGGATACCTCTGGAGCAGTCAAACACAAAATCAGCACACATCAGCCACACTTAAATCGAGGTCTTTATTTGGCCACTATCTGGAGCATATGCATGATGAGCGGGAGCAAAATCTTTACCAAAAAAAAAAACTGCAGCGAAAACAGAATAACTGTAAGCAAATGTGAATTAAGAGGGCGACGTGTCCCTGAGACTTTTTTTCGGCAGTAGTGAGCAGACATTCGCAGACAAGTCTGCAGAACTTCTTTCAAAGTTTCACTCATCTGCAAGTTTTCAGCACTTTTAAAAAAAAGTTACCCAGTTTGCTTTGGAGTGAAACTGCCTCGATGAAAGAGGAAGGGGGGAGAGGGGAGGGGTGGGACTACTGCCCAAGGAGGCTTTTAAAACACACAACCCCCCCCCCCCCCGGCACTGATTCGTGTGAGAAGTACGTAGAGTAATTTAGGAGCAGAAAATGGCAGCGGGCGGGCATGCAGGCCAGCCAAGCAAGAAAGCCGCAGGCTTTGGGAACAGAACAATCTACTGGAAGAACATTTAAAGACTCACCTACTATACGGACGAAGCCACACAACAGGACACACGGCAGCTCGCGACAGACACGAGCAGGACCGCCATGTGCAATCACGACCAGTTACACGCTAGCTCCTCACTGACTGGACTGGAGGCTATAACCACTGATAGCATAACTGGGACCGCAACACAGCATAACACGCCACCATGAGGACAACAGCGGGATTGCAGCGAAAAGCAGATTTTGCGCGACAGGGGTGTGGGTTAGTGGTGCCGACGAGCTATCGGACAGGGGGGCCGGGGTGGGATATGGGGAGTGTACCTTCCTCCTAACCCCCTCATCATCCTCCTCCTCCAGCGGGATACTGCCCACCTCACTCAGGATGGGGCTCTGCAGGGGGGAGGGAGCCTGCCCTGGTAGGCTGAGGGTGGACATCTGGAAGGAGGGGGAGAGGCAGAGGGGGCTCTCCGGAGCCAGGGACGGTGGTGAGGCTTGCGGGCTGTCGGGGGGAGCTCCTGTGGGGGGAGAGAGGGAAAGAGATCAGCGTGAGAATGCAGACG